CATGGATGTCCTGGGGCTCTACCTTTTTGATGGAGCTTAGATAACACTCTCTCGATACTCTTTTGTCGCCTCTCACCGTTGCCACCCCATTTTCCGTCGGGAATTTCATGCATAGGTGGTGGATGGAGGTAACTGCTCCCAATTCTTTTAGGGCTGGCCTACCTAATACTCCATGGTAGGCCGATCGACTGTCGACGATGAGGAACTCTATGAAGGTCATCATAGTTTGGGGAGACTCTCTCATCTCCACTGCAAGTGTTATCTTTCCCCTTGGAGCGATGCTATCTCCGGTGAATCCGTACAAAGGAGTTGTGGTGGGTGTCAATTGATGATCCAATATCATCTTATCAAAGGCGGATCTGAATAGAATGTTGACAAAGCTACCGTTGTCAAGTAACATTCGCTTTAGCCCATTTTGGGCAATGACAGTGCATCGCAGTGGGGGTAGTGAACTCCTTCGGCGTCCTCCTGGGTGAAAACAATGGGTAGAACTTGGTTCTTCGGAGAGCTACTGTTCACAATGTAGCTTGCCAAAGGGAGGTGTTTAGCCTTCCGGGCTTAATTTCTTTTGGCGTTTCGTGTCTCACTGCCAACATATGGTCCTCCAAATATGGTATCCACCTCATGGATAGGGGCCTCATCCTGGGCTTGTCGGTTTCTTCGGTACCTGTGCCCTTCCCTGGGCCTCTTCGTATTTCCTTCGTCGTGGAGAAACATCCCTTTGACGAGAAGCAGCTTCCTCACGCCCACGTCGGTTATTGTGCCTGGGCGGGGGCCTGTTTGCCTAGAGCGATTTATTTCTATCCTTAGGGGGTTCCAGCCGGGAGCGGTGCGCATAGTCTCGACAATCCACTATGTCGTGTCCATAGGACTGGTGGTGTACATAGTATCCCGGTGGGTTCTGATTTGACCTATTTCTAGGTCCCGAACCCCGACCTCGGCCTCTTCCCCTACTGGATCCTTGTGGGGTTTCCGTCTGCTGGGTGTCAGTAATTGGTTGATATCCTCATATGCCAAGGTAGGAACCGCGTTCAAAGTGGTGGTGGCAAGTGCTTGGCTAGAACTCTCATTTCCAGCCTGGTTCATTTGGTAGTTCATCAGGTGGGAGGTCGACCCTCTAGCATGCTGCCTTTGAGGAGGTGGAAGGCCCCTACTTGCCATGTTCCTATGCTCAATCAATTCTTCATTGATGATTTCCCGCCTCATCATCTCGAGTAAGGCATCACAGGTGGTGAAATCTTGATTTTGCACGTCCCTCCAGAATAGAGTATTCATATTCAGGCTTTCCCTTAATGCGGATAGCGCCTTACGGTCGATGACTTGCACGCAAGACGCCATCTCATCGGTGAAGCGTGATAGGAAGCTCTTTAGGGACTCCCCATGTGCTTGTCTCATGTTTTGGAGACCTTAGATGGGGGCCTCTCCTTCTTTGCTTACCGCGAACCTCTTCAAGAATGTTGTCTTGAACTCGGGCCAGCTTCTTATGCTCCCAGGCGGTAACCTACTATATCAAATTTCAGCCGCTCCACTAAATGTTAAATGGAAAGCTCTGCACTTCACAGCTGGGGTGGCGCCCCTTAGGCTCATGTGAGTTTTATAAGCATTCAGATGCTTCTCTGGGTCGCCTCTTCCGTCATACTTTGGTATCTTTGCCATTACATAGTGGCTTGGAACCTGGGTACTTCTTAGTTCCCTTGAAAACAGCAAATTCTCATTGTCATCGTCCAAGTCACAGGACCTCTGCTGCTCATCTGAATCGTATTCCTCGGCCTTATGCTGTGGTTGTTGGTGAGAGGTTTCGGGATGGTTCCTAACCTCTTCCTCCCTCCTCTAGAGCCTATTTCTAGGCGGAGCAACACGGGGGACGTTTTCATGCCTTTCTTCCAAATGCTGGGGCATTGGAGGTGGAGGCGGTGGCCTTGTCCAAGGCTGGTGAGTCTGCCATTGCCTAAGCCTCGGTTCAGCGGGGCTAATTCTGTCAAGGCTGGTGAGTCTTGACTCTTACTCATACGGAGGTGAGAAATTATCATGTTCAATGAGACCTCGGTGGGTCGGCCAAAAGCGTAGTTGGAGGAAACATCAACTTCCACTTCCCTTTCAAATGGACTTCCACCTCGGCTATAGTCCGGCGAGGTAGCTCTATGACTTTGAATTTCATCTTCTTGCTGGTAGTGCCCTTGAAGGGCGTATGGAGGAATGGGGAAGCCTCCCTGGCCCTACATTTGGGCCATGAGCTCCCTCATAGCCAAGTTTTGGCTAGCATTATCCCTCATGTTGGCCGCCATGACAGCCATTTCTCTTGACAGCCGTGCTGTCGCCCGCATTCCACCTCTTCTCTGGTGGTGGTGGAGTTTTTGCCGAGCTGCTGGGGCAGCGGGTGGAGGAGGCACATTTGCGTTTTCTCTTACCCTCTTAGGGGGTGTGTCTTCGTTTGAACTCATTTTCTTTTCGTCTGACTCTTCAAATTTTGCTAAGTTGTGTGGCTTCCTCTTGTTCTTTTTCAAGAACAAATCATTTTTAAGAGGGATGCCCAAACGCTCTTCAATAAGCTTTCACCACAAGGTTGTTCGTGGTTATGGTATGATTTTTCATAGACGGCCCTAATCTGTTGACCCCAAAAAATGTTGCCAACATATGCCGGACCCACCTGCGCACACGTGAGCGAAGGTCCTACACGCTAAGACACGTGGACAGTCTAGAACGAACGGATCAGGGGTGGGAGAGTAGCTCAACGACGCGGGAAAAGAACGTTCGGATTCCGACGGGATGTTCGTAATCCGATTGTACAATAATTACCAATCGGTGCTCATGAATGTGCATGTAAATATGTATGAACTCGTATTGTGTTGCAAGATAATATGAAAGAGACAGTAAAGTGTGGTTTCTTGTATTGATTCTTGCATTAGCCCTTTAATGTTATACAATGGAAGTATTTATAATGGTACATGTAAAATGGCAGCCTTTGGATGAGGTGGCACGTGACTTCATCTCTTTAATCCAAACATCCAATCATAGGTATCATCCTTGACTTGCTAGCTTGCTGCGCATTTATTGCTTATGCAGAACCCCCATACTAATGACAAAACTTGACATGTACACTTATGACAAACATTCCATCAACAATTCAAACAAGATCTTTATGTAGAAAATCTCTTGGGAGAAGTGATTATGGAAGACGTTCCTTCATAGTTCGGAGGCTTCTGCTTCGGCTTCGGATTCAAGGATTCTGTCACACGTAATACTTCCGCTTTAGGGCTTCGGCTATGTTCACAGGCCTCGTTATATGGGCCTCGGCATATGGACTTCGGCCTATTTTCATGCCACCTCGGCTAGAGTGACACGTGGTTCGGATTGAGTGGGCCATAGATCCAAGTAGGTTGGCCAAGTATGACAACACATAACAATAATTATATAATTAATAACTTGATTTATCATCTGATTTAAGAAAGTTTTTAGGGAGTTTGTTAGTTTTGAAGTATGATTCTTATAATGTAACATTTTATGTATTCTTCCCTTAGTGCAGGTTGAAGACCTTGGTATGCAACTACCCAACTTAATTGGATTAACAATTTCTTCAACGAAATTCAATAAATAAAAAAAAATTCCAACACAAAAATAAAAAATAAAAAAATCAGATAATATACAAAAAGGAATATTTACCCTATATTGAGATGAATTCAATTTATTTGCAAATCGAACGTGGACCGCACATGCTCTAAGGACCACATGGTATGCCATGCCACGCCAGTTCACATTTCCAGTGATCAACTTGTCACCAACGATTATTGTCGTCTTAAACCAATGAACTTCTAATAAAAAAATTTCTCGTAAAATGTAAAGAATTAAATGAAATTCTTTAATATCATAACAAATCAACCAGATGTATAATGTTCGAATTTTGTCCATAAACCAATTTGTGAAAACAATAATATACACAAAGGGACACAACACATTAAAAGACTATGTATAAACAAGTTTGTAATAACATTATATACTCTATTTGTTTGTAGTTAGAGGTTCTTCCGAGTTCCGTCAATTTTCCTTTTCTTTCTTTTTTCTTTTTATAAGGGGCATCAAATAATTTTACCCCTTCTCTAGATGGAGGTTGAATCTCATCATTGATATGGTAAAAATATATGAGCTCGTTTTGGCCCTCCACTTCAAGGCTATTAGAAGCATTTCAAATCAAAGTACCTTTTGTTTTAAAACTTTTAAATATTCGAAAGTGTGTATTTAAAAAGTAAAAAGTAGAATAAAATTTTGAGTTTACGCGTAAAATATTTTATTTTGAAAATGTGTAATTGAAAATAAGTTTGGGAAAAAATATTAACATAGTGATAGAGGAATAGGGCTCAATTTCAATATTGTTCAACTTAATGTAGGTACATATGTACAATATTGAGTTCTTGTTTGATTTTGATTTTCTCAAAATCATTTTCTTTAAATTCATTTCAACCATACATTATTTCAGCAAAATAATTTGCACGTGAATACATAAAACTTCAACAGTACATTCTTTAAATTAATTTTTATAAAATCACTTCTCGAAGCAAAGGTTAAGCAACCTCCGTTTGGTAGCAATTTTTCATCAAAAAAATCGATTTTTTTACTTTTATTTCATCATTTTTACTTCTTCACTCATATCAGGACTCATTTTTTCTCTAAAAATCAAAAAATTAATTTTCAAAATCACAAAAAATCAAATCTAAAAATCATTATCGAACAAACCCTAAATAAAGGAAAAAAAAAAGTTTAAATTTGCCCTATCAAAGATTGTGATATTTTACTCATCTCCAATTGAAGAGAATTTTTTTCACATTATTTACTCTTAACTGAAAAGGAAGGAGCTCATAAATCAAATTGAAAACAAAATACGGTCTATCAAATATATTTTCTCAATGTAAAATCATATTTTTATTGAAACTTTGAAATAAGCACAACATTTTCCTCCACATGAGCAAATAAGCAAACAAAATTACAGTGATTAACTAAGAATTAGATTATGATTAAAGAATTATTATTATTATTATTAAGCAGAAAAGAATCGAACAAATTCCAAAATTCTCTCAATATCAATAATGCCACAAATCTAGAAATAGATTTGCGAACATAACGAATCAAAAGATGTCTCATACAGTACGCAGATATAGAAATCTTTGCACAGCTCTATAGGATTTCTCTCCTGGCGGCGGACCCGTACTGCGAGCGGCGCACATTCTGCTGGCGCTTCTTGTACACCAACGCACCGACCACAACGATACACGCTCCGGCGACCACTGCTACTGTTACGCCGGCTTTTTGCCCACCGTTCATCCCGCCGGAGGAGGTATCCCTCTCCAACTCCACATTACTCGTATTTACCTCCTCGTCGCCTGCTATGGCAGGTGCCGGTGTCGGAGACTTTTCAGGAGAAGAAGAATTGGTTAATGCCGGAGATGGTGCTGGAAAGGAACTTGGAGAGAGATCTGACGGCGGAGGCGCAGGAGGGGAGGCAATTGAGAGGGAAGGAGAAGGAGATGGTGATTGCGATGGTGTTTCTGGAGATAGAACCGGCGGCGGCGAGAGGACGTCGTCAGCTGGTGGATGTGGAGATGGACTGGGGGAATTTTCCGATGGATCTGCAGATAACACTGTGTTTATAGAGAGAAAGAATGTTAAGAAGATAAAAATAGAGAAAATTTGAATGTTATTTGAAGCCATTACTGATCTGAAAACAAGATTGAAGTAATTAGGGAATAAATTCAGTTCTAAAAATCAAGATTATTGAAGAACTGAGATTAGGGGTGTGTGTGTGCGTGTAAGATAAGAGAGCGGATATAGAGGAAGAGAACGTGGGTGGGTACTATTTTCAATTTTGTTTTAACTTGCTTGAGATAGAAGGGAAGTGGATTAGAAAGGGGAAGGGAAATGAGAAGGAATAATTAGTATCCCTTTGATTGTGAGAATGAAAATGAGGTAGAAAAAAAACGAATTTCAGGGAATTGAATTGTATAGAACTTAATTTATTAGAAATTATCAATTAAATGTGTTTGAGTGATATAATTTTTCATATAGAAAATATTGAAATTTTGGATCTTTTGATTTTCGTTTGATTTTGTTTTTCATAAAAATTATCAATTAAATGACTAAAATTTGTATCAATTGCCAAAAAAAAAAAAAAAAAACATAAAAAACAACATTCACATTATTGACTCAATTTAGCGTTAATTTTTTAATCGAACATTTAATGTGTCCATTTGTCAAGTTAATATGATTAATTTAAATCCCAACGATTTGATGACTGGATATATCAATACGTAGGATTTTCAGCTAAAAATGAACATAAAATTAAATTAGTGGGGACATGAATGAAATATTATGCTAAATTTTAACAGTAACTCTAAACTAATTAGGAAAGGGCCCTTGCACAGGCCCTGTACCCTTGAGATCAAGGTGACACTAAGTAATTATGCTATTAAACTTGACACTAATGGTTGACAATGTCTGTGTTATCAAAATTCGAGTCATTGATTTAAAAAATAGTTTTTGAGGCAGATGAATGTGAAGTTGTCATCCAATATTGTCAAACTAGATTGTACATGTAGAATTATTCAACACTAAGTACAATAAAATTAACTTTTTCATGTTAGGTTGGCGAAAAAGGACTAGAAATGGAGAAAAAAATGTATTTCATTAGTTCTATTTATACAGGCTAATTTTGTTTTCACATAGATTAAGAAATCTTATTTAAGGTCTATTTGGCATGACTTTTGAAAAGCCAAAATGAGTTTTTAAGACTCAAAATTCGTTTTAATGTCCTTTTGACAATTATAAGAGCTTTTAAAGGAAGTCAATTCAATATAACTTCCTCTGAAAGCACTTCTAGAATGAGAAATATTTTTAAATATTAGTTTTCAAATAAAAAGGGTGTTTGTAGGGATTAAAATTAGATTTTTTAGTAGATTGTGATAAATTTTTGAAATGTGTGATTAAAAAGTTGTACGATCCATGGAAGATGTGGTTAATATTGAGTGTTTGACTTTGACTTAAATTAAAATAAGACTATAATCTCTCCCAAACAAGGTTAAAAATGAATGTAACTTTCTCCAAAAAAAAATTTTTACAATAAGCAAAAGTAAAAGCTACACTAAATGAGCTTTTAATGTTATTAAAAAGGCAATTTTTGCAGAAAAACTTTTCTAATCTACCTATATTTATATTTGTAGAATTTCAAAATTAAGTAGGGAAAATTGGTTATAACTAAACAAATTAAATAATGATATATTAGTAAATGAACAAAACATAATATTCTAAATAAAAAACAAGACTATACAATTGGAACAAGAGAAGTTAACCTATATAAATGGAATGAAAGGAGTATTTATTTTCTGCTGAGGGTTTGCTTGGGATGGGAACAAAAGTATGGAAAGAGGACAGAAAATGGGAAGGTAAACTATCTTTTTCAAGAAATTGGAGTGAAAGTTAAATTTCCCCTTCTTTCTGACCAGACAGGGAATAGAAAGGTGAAATCCATTGGCTTGGCGTGGCTATATAATGATTGATTTTGTTGGTTCATTGTTGTCTCTGTCTATGCGGATGTTGAAATCTTAACCGCTGAGTTTGAGACGCTTACAAATGGTTAAGATCCGTTTTGAAAAGTGTATAGTATAATTAGATGATAATGTTAAATCCTTGGTTTTAACGAAAATATATTTTTTAATAGATTTTAATAAAAATTGATGAAATATTTAATTAAAAAATAATAAAAATTATGAGATAATATATGATCAAAAACGAATTTGAGAAAAAATGAATTTTAAGAAGTGAAGGTTGGACAAGGCCAACTTTCAAAAGAAGTCTAGACATTAAAATAATAATAATAATAATAAAAAGGAATTTTAAATGAACGTAAACGAAGTTTAATCATTAAAAAAATGTAAAACGTAATTAGATAGTAAAGCCAAACTTTGACGGCCCTTATAACTCTTTTACGACACTGGTAAAAAAAACTTCTGGTCTCATTATTATTCCTTCAAATCCTTGAATACAAAGACCTTGTAACTACAAGAAATTGTCTTATTCTAATAAAGTAGAAAAATAATAAATTGGTGAATCGAATATATATATATATATATACACACACACTACATTTAAACGGAAGTTTAAATTTAACTCAAATAGAATCTTAAGAAGATGAAAAAAAAAAAAAAAGGGAATCTGGCGTAGGGCACAAAGTTAAGAAAAAACAGTCGAAAAGTCTCGTAACTCGTTCGGTGCTCAGTCCTGTCATAAGGGGACTTGTAAAACGCAGGATACCATCACGAGGTCAATATAGACCATTAAGATTAAACTGACCATTTATAGTCAATCGGATGAAAGGTCTATAAATGGTCAAATGGGATGACAACGCAAAGACCATATTCCTGTTAGGAAATACCTCTAGATAGTCTAAATAAAAGAGAGATTTGTAAGATTAGATCAAAAAATATAAACATTTGAGAAATAGCCTTTTAACAAATATCTTTCCAAAAATACCCCTCATTGAGAAATTGCAACCAAAGCCACTACAATGTATAAAAACCTTCAATTAAGTCCTCAAAGAAATATAGATAAAAAAATTTTAATAAATTTAACCCCAAATATTATACAAAATTTTATTAATCTAAAAAACGCAACAGAAAATGAATTAAAAGGATTCTTCACAAAATATTTAGATCCAAAATTAAAAAATAAAAATGTTTCTATAAATAATAGAACAATCAAAACAGAAAATGATATACATAAACAAATTCTTAACTTGAGAAGAAGAATTAAAGAACTAAATATAATTATTGAAGAAAAAGTATTAATAAAAAATAGTGAGTTTTATAAATTCTATTGTGATATTTTAAATACTTATGAAGATTTTAATTGGCTTAAAAATCTTAACCCTTCCGCTGCACACTTCTGTGAAATGGTATCAGAGCCAAGTTACGAACCAAAAATTATGATGAATATAGTATATGAAGAAAATATAATTGAAGAATTTTTAAAAAAGGTTGAAAAACATAAAAAACCTAATTATCCCTATTTACCTAAAAACACCACAAATGAAAGTTTTGAGAATATACACAAAAGATTATAAAATCTAGAATATAATCTACAAGTAGGAAATGCTCTTTTAGATAAAAATCTTTAAGGAAAAGATAGGATTATAATTAATCCACCTCAAGATTTCAGGATAACACAAAAGGAAAATAATAAAGGGAAAAAATATGAAGAAAAACAATATATGATTACAGATGTAGAAGAAATAGAACAAAAATTCTTAGAATTTACAGGTGAAGAGTATGAAGAATATAAAAAACAGTTAGAAGAATTAACTGAAAAAATGAAAAATACAAAGATGAATACTAATCCATCTTTAAGTCAGAATATAAAAGTAGAATTCAGTAGTGATGAAGAATAAGATTATCCTTACGGTACCCCAATACCTAATAAGGATGGTATTTACCAATATAGAAAAACACAGAAAAGATACACTGAAAATGTAAGAAAACAGTCCATAAAAGAAATAAACCCAATGAAATCTTATAATGAACAAATCCACACAACAGGAATATGGTTAGATCTAGATTGTGTAGATAAAAATAAAGTTATTGAAACATGGATGAAAAGTACAGATTTAGCAATACAATTTAATAAATGAGAAACATATACAACTTTTGGATTTATAGAACATACATTCAAAAGAATTGTTTCTGAATGGTGGAGAAAGTTACCAAAAATAATTAAAGGAAGAATAAAGTATGGAGCAGGTAGAACTGAAGTATTAGATAATAGAAATACTTTAAATGAACAAAATATACAAGAGATGTTAAAAAGATTTGAAAAGATCTTAAGAACAGAATTTCTAAGAGATAGATATAATTCTAATGATGAAGAAAGAAAACAAGATGAATATAATCAAGGGATGATAGCAATGGAAAATTTAAATATATGTGATATGTGTGAATTAGAAAGATATACTTGTAAATTTGAAAAAATATACTATATATTAAACCAAGGAGATTATCAAGAAACTAAACTTATATTAAGGTCTTATTTTACTAAGTTACCATTCCCATAGGGAATTAAGTTATTAAAAGAATATGAGAAATTATTACCTCTACGAGAAGAGGAAGGAGTAAAAATAGATAATTTTGGAAGTAGGATTGAATTTACAAAAAGAATGATAGGTATATGGTGCATAGAAGCTTTAGAAAATAAAAAAGCATATAAAATAAGAAAAAATTCATTATGTTTTTACAAAGATATTGGCTAAGTTGAACAATTTGGATGTCATAAGAAGAAACATAAACCGTATAAGAAATATAAAAGAAAATTCAAAAACTATAAAAAATTCAAGAAAAGAAATTTTAAACTACACAAAAAATATTTCAAGAAAAGAAATTGGAATAAAAAATTTAAACCAAGAAATATTAAAAAGTGTAGATGTTTTATTTGTAATGAAGAATGACATATTGCTCCTCAATGTCCTAAAAAGAAAGATAGACAAAATATAAAAACGTTTAGAATTTATGAGAAATTTCAAGAAGATAGTGACATAGAACCAATTGAATATTTTGAAGATCTAAGTAATGAATGCAGTAGCATTTATGAATTAAATACATCCTCATCAGAAGAAGATTACGAGGAGACAGTATATATGAATCAAGAGATACAACAATCAGAAATAGAAATAGAAACAGTTGAAGAAGTTGAAGACTCTATACAAGGTATAAATCTAGAAATTACCTTTGATATTAAAAAATACACAGAAATCACTAATAAGATATTAGACCTACAAGAAAAAGATGTATTCCATCAAGAATTTTTAGAAATTTTACCAAGAGTAAATAAAACAATTGTAAGTATGAATTATAAAGAAATGTCTATTAATATAGAAGATATTATAGGAAAAGCAAGAATTCCTATAATTACAAAAG